TGATTAAATACTAATATATATATATATATATATATATATTTACATATGTACTGTATATGTATATACAGTATCTACTGTATCTACATATATATTTACATATGTACTGTATATGTATATACAGTATCTACTGTATCTACATATATATTATATGTAATACATTTGAAGCTTTGTTAAAAAATATTTAATAACTGTTTTAATTTCTGGGTGTACGTGATAAGGTGTTATACATCATATTAATGTATATAACTATACATGCGATATTTCATTGAAATAAAAATCTATACAAGATAACTACAGTTTTAAAAGGGTTGCACAAAAACATTGAGTGGGTTGCAGGTTGGACATCGCTGGTTTATAGAATAGCAACAAGCGAAATGCTGTACAGGTTCAATACAGATGCAACTGTTGTAGTAGGATGATCAGATACCCCTGATTTCTGGGGACTGTCCCCATTTTTAATATTTGATTGAGGAATCAGTCTTTGAATAGAACAATTTTATTAAAATGTTAATATAATGTCACCAATTTATATATCAATAAATAAATAAGTAAATTTGAAAAAAATAATTGAAGTTCAATCAGTTTTAGATTCCATTTTCACTATATCATTTACAATCCAACTGGGGGCAAATTCTGAAAGTTGGATTGTAAATAATATAGTCCATCTAATTGTAGGTTTGACTACAGTACATTGTACACATCAGCAACATTTTCTTTCCTTCAATACTTACAGATTGCATTTGTTTAAAGATCTGAAAGAGAAATACATAGAATAAAACACACAATATTTAAAATACAAACAAATTCAAGTTTTATTTGGAACTTTCTGGAAATTTTTTTTTATATTTTTGATTTGCAGTTGAGAGAATCTGTGGATGTAAAACCCACAGACAAGTCTTTGGCACAGAACTAGTCAGAGCTTCCATTTAATTGCTGGTGCTAGAGTTTGGAATCATGTTCTTTAAAAAATTCTTGCCTCTAGCTCTAGATCTTGTTTTTATAAGCTTAAGTGTTAATTTCTTCAGATGTTCTCTAGAAAGTTGTGAGCTTTCTATCTTGCAAATATTTCTAATAAAGAAATTTTCTGACAACTTATATTTGTGGCATACTATTAGAGATATATTCTTGGCATATCCTGTTTATTTTTTGGAATTAAATAAAATGAATGTTATCTGTAATCAATAATATAAACAATATTTTAGTATCTTTTAAATAATATTAAAACATTACAACATTGACTTTGTTTACATGTCAGGTACTCTTATAGCTTTTCTAATATAATCTGGAAGTCTGTTTTTAAAATTTTTAGTGTAGGGACTATCCATAAATGATGTCCATACTGGAAGGGAAGGAAGAGGTTATGACAAGTTGGACAAAGACAAGAGGTGGAGGGGTTTAACTTCTATGGATGTCCATTTTATTTCATTAAATTTTATATAGTATATACATTATATTATTCATAAAGTGGTAAAGATTTTTGGAGGTTGAGTTTTGTTGGATGTCCAAAGAGGGGAGGGTGTTACAGAAACTTTGACAAACTGGGACAGTAGAGTAGGGGGAGTAAAAATTTCAAGGAAAATGTGGATGTAATTTATGGACAGCACCTTATTAGGGACAAATTACATCCACAAGGGTAATAGTGGTAAATAACTGGTGAATAGTAGTTATTAGTTAATTATTTATTGGTATTTAATTTTATTTCTATGATTTCCTGCTCTTTATAGTTTAATATATTTGCGAGTAATACTAAAATCACATATTATATTAATGTATGATGAAAAATCTACTTGTATCGTTTATTTAAAATTTATATAAAGTGATAAAAACAGATAAATTAATAGTTAGGAGTACAATATCTCTAACAATTTCATATCTCTAACAATTTCATTTAAAAATTAAATGTTTGGCTGGAGCTGGAATCAGAGCTAGAAAATTCACCTGGAATGGAGCTACAGCCCTAATTGGGACCCCTATTCTACACATACAGAGGACCAACTATATTTTACTTTACTGTATTTTATTTTATTCAAATGTGATGTTATATTTTGCACTCTATGTTGCACATAAAAAACAATTTATTATATAATTTTAGTATATTGGTAACTTATGATTTTATTGTTATGAATTTTTCCAAATTTTAATGATGATTGTATACAATAATAATAATAATAATATTTTTTAATCTTAAAAAATAATTTTAATTTCTAAATCAAATAAATAATAATAACTATTTTATCTGAATTATCAGTAATAATGCAATATATCAATTTAAAAATGATGTTGCAATATTCTCTTATTCAACTTTTTGTTTCTTTCTATTTTAAAACATTTAAGTTATTAAAACAAAAAAGTAATGATGTTATTTAAAGATTGTTTATTAGGCACCATATTGATCATATACAACTTATTATTCTAGGCCTAGAAATTGAACAAATTAAAATTGACAAAACAATTTGTAACATTATTAGAAAAAAGTTGAAATTTATAGTTATTAACTCCTGCATTAAGAGAACCACCTACATAACTACATGCCTATTCCATATGTACAGTACAATACAGTACATATTGCGATGTTATCAAAGATAGGGCCATGCTTAAAATAAGAAAAAAACACAATTATTAAGGCTTACAAACAAGATTTTAATTGTTTCATGTAATATAAAACCCAAAACTGAAAATAATACTGGCATTACCTGTAGCTCCTATTTGATTATAAGTTAGCAGGGTCATTATTAGTAGTATTTTTAAGATATGCAAAATCATCAGGGTCTCTAGGTCATTAGAGACAGAGGAAATGTAGGAATGCGAATTTTTCATGTTGGAATGAATATTGGCAATGTTATTAATGAAATCACTATTCGAATAAATGAAAGTACAATTTCTGATACATTGGATTTTCCTTAATTAATTTTTTTTGAATCAATAAACAGACATAATAGATATACAAACTATTATTGACTGATTCAAAATATGCCAAACCATAGAACGCTGGATTAAAGAAGTTCAATCTGTAATTGATATAACTTTAAATTTGATTAAAATAAAGAAAACAATTTTGAATTTTGATTTACGTTTACATTAATTTAAAAATATCAAGAATTCCTATTTCATTAGTTATTTCATCTTATTTGTAATTTATGCTTAATTTGTATTGTATAGGAAGAGATTAATTAATTAATTAATGAATTAAATCTAATCTCAGAAAGGGATTGTCAAGCAAAAATGATTGGTAATCCCTTTTCTTTTTAGTGAAATTTGTAAAAAATGCATATGTTTTGCATTTTAGATGATGGTGATATGTATAATTTATATACATGTACTGTACAGTTCATTCCATATCTATCTCCTGAATGAGGTTTGGAAATATTTAAAGTGATATAAAGACATTTTCTATAACACACTGATTCTTACTCTTGTTCAAAACTATTTTGGGAAATTGTTTTTAAGTTTTTAAAATAAATTGGAGAGCATTAAAAGACAGATTTAATATCTCATTTGGCTTTTCCTGTTAAATTGGCTCATTCTCGCATATTTTAAATTATCAATTAGCAATTTTGGAATGGACTGTAACAAATTATACAATAAAATTTGTAAAATTATTTATTTATCAATTTTACAGAATTCTTTTAAAACTTACACCAAAAATATGAACAGATCCGTGGAGAATGCATCTTGTAATGAAAATATTACTTTAAGACGTAAACATAATCACAGAAAGGTATCAGTTTTTATCTATTGAGTATTCTTTTATAATTATATAAAACTATTATAACAAATATGAAATTTTTAATATGTCCATAGGTTTAGATTTTTCATCTTCTTAGTAAAAATTAAATTAACAGCAATAACACCAAAAATCCAATGAGTAAAAACAATTTAATAAGAAAACTAATGTTTTTATTTTTTCTACTGTTTTCAGTGGTCATCTTCAGGTTACATGTGTTCCAAAACAGAACATAAAAATAAACAAATGATTTAAACTTGATGGAATGCAGATACAGTTGATTGCCATTCACATGAATGTTGCTGTTTGCATAAAAAAATACAATAGGGTCATTCTATGTCAAGTGATTATAGTCTCCAGCTTGACTCCCTCAGATTTCAATGAAATTTGGCACAAATATAGTTAAGGTTTAATTAATCATTTAATTTGTTAACTTTGAACCCTTTTCTTGCTGATTTCAAGTTCAGACTAGCTGGTACTTTACTCTGCTTTATCAGAAAGTTGAACATTTTATGAGTTGGTAAATACGAGGAAGTGAATTCAAACATTCCAAGTATTGATTTTGAATATTTCAGCCTATGATACTTTTGTATTAAAAATTTATAATTTTCTCTTTGTACAAGTATGTCTTTTAAATATTTTTCCAAGGCTTTCATCCAGTTCTTTAAAACTTGTGTCCCTTTTGAATATCCAAGGCTCTGGGTTGATTTTTAATGTCTCTAGTATCTTGAAATACATTTGTGAGGCAGAACAGACTGCACTTAACTTTATTTTCGACTTGAATAATCCAAAGTTTCTTTTACATCGACAGTTTTAATATCCTTTTATGGGATATATATATCCCATAAAAGGATATTAAAACTGTCAATGTTTTTTTTTCCTTGAAACACAAGGGAAAATGTTCTGATTTTGTGTTTTATATATATATATATAAGATTAGCATTAATGTTTTATGTTGCTGATAGCCAGAGACAGAAATGAAGCACAGTAATACTTTTGTTTTGCCCACCTGTCCCATCTGAAAACAACACTAACCTGGAAACAGAAGGATATTTTGTTTTAGCATTTGTCAAAAAAATGAAATAAAAAAACAGAGAATCAGAACATTTTCCCTTGTGTTTCAAGGAAATAGTAAAAAGCACTGCTGGAATTATTATATGGATGTACTGTACATTAAACACATACATTCAAAGTAAGTGTTTATAAAATTGTTTGGACAACAATCTGTAATAAACCAATTCGTTTTCTCCAGAACCACGACTCCATTTCTTCTTACCTAGCCATCACTGCTGTTTTTTGCCTCTTCTGTACATTATCTTTCCATTTTTCTGACTTTTTTTGTTCTTTTTTGTCCTCTATTATTCATTTTTTTGAAAGAAATACAAGCAGAGATTACAGTAAATAAAAACTGAGTATCCAGATACCAAAAGAGGCAGCCATATAAAAAATTCAGTGACCTCTAGTAGAAGTAAAGTAATGATAGCATTTCAAAATACCATCATATTCACTTCCAACCAAATATATTCCATAGAATATAGCATGGAAAAGCTAAAGCAGCATTTTCAGAAAGAAAGTTGTAAAGCTATTTATGCTTTTATTCACCCAGCTTCTCAATTGTTATTAATATTCTGTATATAAAGTTAGTTTAAGTTATAATGTCTAACACACAGTGCTTTAAATCAAATTTTTGTAACGCCCTATTGGAATAATCCATTATATCACTAAAATGCTTTAAAAAAAGTTTCAAAATCATAGGAAAGTAATGTTTACATTGATGTTTAGCTTTATGAAAGAATGATAATTAAAAATATACTGTAAATGTTACTTTTTAATAGCAGGGAAAGCTACGCAACTCATTGCTGGAGTTTTTCTTTAAATTTTGGCATATTATTAGTCAAACAGTTATCATGTAATATGACTGTCAAATGAATATAGAATTATCGTGAAACAATTCTATTATGAAGTTATTAATGAATAAAAAAATACTTGAAATTTCATAAAGAAAACTGGTGGAACCAGTTAAAAAGTAAAGCACCGCGAAAACATCTAAATAAAGTAAACTTGAAAGATGTGGCATAAAAAAACAGGAATCACGTTTGACAGTAAGACTCAACGTGAATAAAGTGCGCATTACAACTACAGGAAATTTTGAATAAAGCAATGTCACCATGATAACAAATCAGGTAAACAAGCATCGTCCTGGCTTCCAGGTTTACATTGTGCTTTAAAGTTCCTTCATTGATCTATTCAAGATGCTTTAACGTTAAATTCAGCAAAATTATTTTAGGTGCAACGAAAAAGCTTTACTTTTCAACCTAATTCGACCAGTTTTTCATGGGATAACTAAAATTATTAATACATTATAATAAAAAAAATGCAGTACGCTAGTATTGAAACACGCTTTAACATTTTCGAATTTTTCGACTGTGTTCTCTATATTCAANAAATAATTTTGTCACAAACAGGTAATGTCCAGCAGCTCTTATTTCCTGCATATCCTGTAATGTCCAGATGTCACCTGCATATACAATAACTAGACCTATTTATTATAGTGCTGTGTCATAATGTTATCTGCAAGGCATTTTAAATGTTAAAAAGTAGTTTAAATTAAATTCTCTTTATCAGTATCAGCAAACTCATTTTTGAACTGACATGAACATTGAGTGTCATAGTCAAAAAGGTTTATTATTGGTACTGTACATTAGGCACCACATGGTCTATTTGCAATGAATGCGATTATTGTTTTGGACACTAAACATAAGATGTTCTGTATTTTAAGAAGCACCTTTATTTTGGACAAGTATAAGTGGATGAAAATAGTGCATATTACAAGTGAAAAATATATTATGTATGCTATTTATCAATTGTTTTTTTATTTCACTCCTTTAAGTATTAATCCAAAGTATTAATCCAGTTAATTCTTTGTTTATATGAGGATTATAATGCTATTGTAAATTGATTACAGTGCTCTCTATAAATCAATTTACATTGTGTGTTTAACTTAATAGGAAGTTCAGATTGATAAAAATTTGAATTTGGAGATAATAAAAGAGGAATTTTTGCTGGTGTCACAAAATATATTTTTTGTACTCCGAAGCATTTTTCATCTTAATTGTAAGGAGATCATTGTTGATCTCACCTGTCAGATATATTCAGAATAATTTTTAAATATGTTTGTCCCAAAAAGACCTAGAATCTGGAAACTTTGTGAAGATACCCTTGATGGACTGATGACTTTGATTAGTTATCATTGCTTCATCATTTCTTTGTTAAATGAAACTGCATGTTTTTCTCAATTCAACCTTAAATTGTATCTGAGAGATATTACAATATTTTACTATTTTTGTAGATGTTTGTTTTTGATTTTCTGTTTGAAAATGGAGAATATTGCATATTGATGACAATGAGAAGTATTATCAATGCAGGCTGGAATGGATTACTATTTCTAAATTAGTCACTTTTTCTCAAAAATTTCAGCGATATATCACTATTCTGTACTTGTTTTGCCATTTTGAGTAATGACATTTTTGTGATGCCAAGTTGTCACATGTTACTTCATTAATTAATGTTTAAATACTAAAATTGAGATGCCCATAATGTCTTTCTCTTGCTGCACATTGAAAACTTCATGTTATTACATGACTTTTGGGGTCTTAAAAATGTTAGTTATGCCGTATCATGAATATGAGAGCACACAGTCTAACGTCAATAAAATGTTTTTTGAAGTACAGTATTTTAATTCTTTCTGAGCCTATCATAATTAACCTTCACACCTTAAATATGATGGCAGGGTGTTAATAAACCAGTCTAAAAATGAAAATCAAGTGCAAAAAATGATAAACAAACATACTTTAAAATGACACTATTTATTATTTTTCTATTTTTGTTTTAATCATTTTGATAGTGTAACAAAATTACCAATTAAATTTTTTCAAGTTTGTTAGTATTTTATATTATTTGGAAAGTTTATTAAGGGTCAAATTAATAAATGTATAGTTTTGTAACAGATTACAGGCTTTAATGATGAATAATAAATAAAAACAGTGTTTTTTCTTTTCCAGCTTGTTATGTATATAACACAGGAAAATATTGGAATCATGTCAAATTTGATCATCCAAGTTTTTTGCAAAACTCCACTTTTTGAGACCTCCTAAATCTAAAAGAGGCACTAAAAAAATCTGTGTGTATTGGCATCTATTTCGTTAACATCTCAGGATGGAGTAATGATTAAAAAAATGAAATTTAGTGTGGTAACTTGTGTATAAAGGGCATTGATACTATTAAATTCTGGTGGTTATAGATTGAGGAGTGGGAAGATAGAAAGAGATCATATGTCATAACTTGAGTAGAGTGGACTTTGTGAAGATTTTACTCATTATTAACATTTATAATTTTATATAAAACTCATCTCTACCCTCAAAATTAAACTGTTTACAGTTTTGTAATTATTAATAATATAAAAGTTGTTTTTTAACAAAATCTCAAAATGGATTGTTCTATTACATTGTCATGTTTTTGCTGGGAAAGTTATACATTTTGTTTCCAAATTTTTTATTTAATGAAATGTCTTGTTTTAAATTTTAATAATTCTGTGGCTTTGAAAATTTTTTTTTCAAATTAATAATTTTAACCAATTAAGAATTTTAATTTGCAAAATTTAAGAAGATAACTCATTAGAAAGTAGGGTAAATATATAGGCAATTTTTCTCTTAATTTTTTTTAAGAGAGACATGTTGTATATCTTCTAATAGATGCCTCCTGTGTTCAATTACCAAACTGGCTGATCGATTCGGCACTTATTAGCCTACAGTTATGTTCTACAAAAAATAAAGAAGCTGAGTAAAGAACAGATCAAAATATACAGATACAGCAAAGGATAATTAATGACTCCTTTTGCTAATTTTGGTCAACCAACTTGGATATGATGCACTCAAAAATGAAATCAGAAATTCCAGAGTTTTGGTTTTGGTTTTGGTTTCACCAGAGACTGGTATCTATCCGAGTCTTCACTGTAAGGCTGTGTTTATGCAAATATAAGAAGAGGGAAAAACATGCAAAAATGAACTTTTTGAACTAGAATTCGCAATCATGACTGTTTATGCAGAAGTGAGAAACAAATTTCTTACACAAACATCTAGATCTTGTGTGAGCATTAGTTCTAAATTATGCCGCTGTGGCAAATTGAGCTTCCAGCTATTGACAGAAGCTCAGTTTGGGGTATTTTCTGGTCATAATTACAAATTATGATTGCTTTATATGTAATTACTATTAATTAATAATGAAAATAAGTTATTTTCCTTTGAACAAAAGAAAACATTCTCAAACTAAATTATAATGTTAAATGAAACAAAACTCATAAACATAAAATAACACATTCAGACTTGACTCCTTACAAATAATGAATATCATCATGGCAGGCTAATTCTATTTGTCACCATTTAATCACTTTTTCTTTGCTGGGAATTATTATTCTCACTTATTTTGAAGTCATTTTCTGTTTTGCGACCTGTCAATGTTTCCTAATAACTGAACAGAATAGTATATATACACAAAAACAAGAAAATCCAGCAAAAAATAAACTTTAATTAGATAAATAAACGTTTTCAACAATTTTAATTGTCATCTTCAAGTTAATGAATAAAATACAGAAGATAGAACTAATCTTTATAAAAATGAATGTATCTGTTGGATGGAATTTGTATGCAATGACATCATTCTGTTCAGCAATAGTTTGTAAGTAGGATCAAAAGGGAATTTCATACGAGGATTTCCAGGCAGGAGATAGTATCTGCCTCCCTGTAATTGATGGATTGTTCTTTAAAAGATGTTTTGTAAATCTCCATTCTTTCTAGATGTTTTAAGTGCAAACAGTTAGATGCAGGATAAATGATACATGCTTGGTTATAGATGATATCTGTGTCATTCTTGAATGCATATGCACTTAAGGAAGGCAGTGGAGATTAGGTCCTCTTTGATAGTGTAGGTATCTGCCTTCCACTTGAACCTTAGAATTCCATAAGATGGAAGAAATAGTGACGTTTCTATTAGGATTGAATAAATTGATTTGAATAAGAAGCCTTGAAAAATTCCTTAATTAATTCCTAAATAATTTCTTTAGGAATTAAATTAGGATTGATAAAAAGGATTGAGTTTATCTATTTCAATAAGAATTCCTTCATTAAATTATTTGTGGGACTTTTAGAGACTTAAGAAATAGTCACATTAGAATTGTCACAGCTACTTTCCAGAAAGTAGTCTTAACAAAAAAAAATGAATAATATATTTTTAGATGACAAGAGTTAAAGCAGATGCACATGGAAGGGAAAATTAATTAAGGCAATATTGAACATCACTGACTGCTGCAGCCAATCATGTCTTTTGACATTGACTATTAAAATGTGTGATTAATTAAACCTGTCTTTGATGTTCAATATCATCTTAGTTTTGCCTCCCATATGATCCATTTTTAGTCTACCATGATCCAAGCCTGCAAGTTACAGCATTAATTATGATTTAAAATTTAGCTGCTTTTACATTGAAAATTTTCATTTTACTCAGATTATGTTATGCTATCAGTTTCCAAAAGTTGCTGGTTTCCACATTTGACAGATTTCTGGTATATAATAGTATTTTACATAGCAAATACAGTTGCCTCTGTATAGTCCGACGTTTTTTAATCCAACATGCTCAGTAGTCCGACGCACCTCCCGTCAAGGTACCCACCCCGTTACGTGTCTGCTTGCACAGAAGCATGTTGCGATGTGAATCTCCCCATCCAATTTTTACACGATGACACACATTTCGTGTGTTTTATGTGAGCAGTTCTGTTCGAACAGTTGGAGTAGAGAATATTGTAAGTTACTGCTAGCAAAACAATGCAAAATATGTAATTATTTTCGGTAATCCGGACACTTTTGGTAATCTGACACACCTTTGGTCCCATACCTGTCGGATTATTAAGGGACAACTGTAATTTTATTTTATTTTTCATTTTAGACAGATTTTTGTTTCTTAAAGAGTCCATTTTAAACAGGTTTTACTTTATTTACTTACAATATAACAGATGTACTTATGATAAAATATACATTTTCTTTTTAAAGATTTTATCAGATGTTTTAAACAGTAGTGATGATTCTTTCACAATACCTCCACCATTATCTGAAAGAATAAAAACTTCGTACACTCCTGTTTCTGAAACATGTCCGAAGAAGTCAGATTTTAACAGGTAACTTGAATCTGCTTTTGTATTATACATTTTTTTTTTTTTGTAAAGACTTTATCACATGTTTTAAACAGTAGCGATGATTCATTCACATTACCTCCACCATTATCTGAAAGAATAAAAACTTCGTACTTTTCTGCTTCTAAAATATGCCCGAAGAAGTCAGATTTTAACAGGTAACTTGAATCTGCTTTTGTATTATACATTTTCTTTATAAAGACTTTATTACATGTTTTAAACAGTAGCGATGATTCGTTCACAATACCGCCACCATTATCTGAAAGAATAAAAACTTTATACACTCCCGTTTCTAAAACATGTCTGAAGAAGTCAGATTTTAACAGGTAACTTGAATCTGCTTTTGTATTATACATTTTTTTTTGTAAAGACTTTATCACATGTTTTAAACAGTAGCGATGATTCTTTCACAATACCTTCACCATTATCTGAAAGAACAAAAACTTTGTACATTTCTGATTCTAAAACACATCTGGAGGAGTCAGATTTTAACAGGTAACTTGAATTCGTTTTTGTATATTTTGAAATTTAAATAAATTTTTAAAATTAATTTTTGTGTAATGTGAAACTAACATACATTAACCTTGCACAGCAATACCAAATTGCAAAATATTAGATGCAAACATTTTTGGCCTCATTTAGTGGCCAGCTTCAGGTTTCTGCCAAAGTTCCAATTTGCATTGGAAGTCGGTAGAAACCTGAAGTTGGCATTAAATGGGACTGAAAACATTTTCACTTTATATTTTGAAATGTGGTGTTGCTGCTGAAATTGTGTGCAAGGTTAATGTAAGTTACTGTTGTATTTATTCCAGTTTTATGTATAATCTGTGATTAATGTGAAAGCATTTAAAATTTCAGTTTAACATCTACCGATGAAAGTGATGAAGAATTTAATGCATGTAAGTGTTTAATATTAAAGTTTTTAAGTTAATGAATTTTTTAAAATCAAAAGACAAATGCCTATCTGATGTTTAAGCTGACTTAAATACGTCCAATTTGAAATTTACATTTGTACCATAAATGGCCACAGCAACATGATTTTTTATGAGTATATTTGATTTATAGAGTATTCCACAATCATTCTTTAATTGAGAATCATTCATTTAATTTGCCAAAAGACTTATAATAACTCACAATTCATAATTCACAGAGATTGCAACAATCTGATTGGGATACCAACTTATAATAATTAATTCAATTAAAAATGCATATATGAACAGTAGAATAAAAAGAATAATATTGTGAGACTCGCCTTGAGCATCAAAGTGATTGTTTAGTAGTGAGTCTCCAAGACATAGTCTTGTCTCAAATACGGTTTTGCTGTTTTACTTGTTTCTATATATGGAGCATTAATGCTATTGGTTTAGATTAACAGTCAAGGAGGTGGGAAAATAGAGCAGGAGTCATATGTCATAACTTAAGTGGGATTGGACTTGATGAAACAATTCTTGGCATTTACAATAAGAGTAGAGATAGATAGAGATAGGTAGAGCATAAAAATATTTTCTTTTTTCTAAACAGCATAGAATTGCATTCTAGAAAAATGACTAGGCCTATTTTTAGACCACGTGGCACTTGCTTGTAGATTATCAGTGATTCATGGACTATACTTTGAGAATCACTAGCTTGGTGTATTATATATATATAAAATTTATTTTATAATAATTTTAATTAAAAGTGTATCCTATCAATTATTGTATACTTTATACTACTAGATAATATTCTTAATAAAACTTTATTTTATGAGAATGTTTGATACCAACTCATTAAATTAACATTTATTTAAAACTTAAATTTCTGTTACAGTAGATATATGTATATTTTTATTTATTTTTCTTAAAACTGAATGCTATTTTGTAATAATTAGAATAAATTTTTCTTTTTAATTATGTTTAAAATGAAAAGGAAAATACAGTATACTTTTTCATTATTCAGTTTTTAAAATTTAATAAAATCCTTAAATACATAAAAATTACATAAAAACATTATTATTATTAATTTTAATGAAATGTTAACGTAATCTGTTGCTGTTGAAAAATTAATTTTGCAATTTTAAAGTGCTTGACAGAGTAAAGACTCCATTGAGAGGACACAAAACCAATGCTTTACCTAGGTAAATAGAAATTTTATAATTTGTAAATCAAGCAAATTTACTAGAATTAATAAAGTTTTTATAAGAATAATTATTATGAATTTTTAGCAGTCTAGATGAAAATTTCAAAAAGTTTACAACTGTCGAACAGAAACTCAGATCATTAAGAATTTCTTCTCCAAAAACACATGTCACACCCATTACTTATAATCCAGTTACACTTCCAAGACATAAGAAAACTATAAAAAATGTATTTTCTTCAGCTGATATTAATGAATCATTTGAAACTAAAAGACTGCCAAATGAGAGTAAGCATTTGAGTTAATTGTTTAATTTATAAAATATATTAAATTTTACTAAAATGATATTTTAATTACAGAAAATATATTTAATTCTGAAAGGAAAAGAAACTATGTGACAAATAAATCTCCCGAAACCCCATTGAAGAAGGAAGAAAAAATTTCTTTTTTAGAATCTCTCTCATCCAAAATACCAATTTCAGATATTCATAAAGATGCTCTTCCTTTTCGTACAAATTTCAAAAAGACAAAAGATGATCTAATAAAAGTTCTCTATAAAAAATATAATGATACTGTTTTTAGTAATAAGGTAATTATTATTATTATTATTTTTTTTTTTAAATTTATTTATTTTAATAGTGGTTTGTATCTTTAGTAAGAAGATTACTTGAACTTTTATTGATAAATCAAACTGTATTGCAAAATAAAAACTGTACTGTTACATCACTAATACAAATTTTTATCAAATACTGTATAAGTAGTTTTATTCATAACATTTTTAGGACTTAATATTTATTTTCAATAATGCAAGTTAGCTATTTTTTAATCAGGTCTGGCTGTAGGATGATCCACATACAGGATCACTCATTAGACAAAAGTGCATGAAACAGTTAAATAAACGTTTTAAGGGTTAATTTACAGTCCAATGGCATTGCAGTTCCATAACAGCACATTTTATGGAATTTTGGTATGTTTGCTGTCCTCTGCTCCACTAGATAATGAACTATAGACACACTTCTGATGTAGCAACATGACTCCAAAGTTGAAAGATGTGATACCAATGCCATGCTGTGCCGATTAGCCACTGGTCAGAGTTTGGCTGTAAAACGGATGATGATTATAATGTCAATCCCAGCGATAGTTAGCAACCTGAAACTTCATACTATTATTGGACTATAAACTGACAGATTTGTTTTTGAATTGTTGGATTTTTAACTCCATCTGGGTTCTGTCACTTGTAAAGAAAACATAGTCATAACCAGAATACTAATAATGATTAATCAAATATTAATCATTTAAATTGGAAAGGTCTGTTGTGTACATATTGAGCCACTAATTAATAGCATAGTTTGAGTGGAACAGAGGTGCCAAGTTCTAGTAAAGAAAGGAATGATGTAGAATTCTTACAAATAATGTGTTGTTTGTAAGAAATTGAAAGTAAGATTTGCAAAAATTATAAAACATAATTGTAAACTTTTAGTTCGATTTACATGTTTCACAAATAAAGATTAATTGTAAAACATGTAAATCAATGCAGATAAATATTGCAACTAACAAAGGACTATTTAAAAGTATAGTAGAATCCTAATTAATCAAGACTCTCTTAACCAGATGTGTTGTTTAGAGCAATCCATTTCATGAATCTTGGCTGAGCAATATAAAGTACTCAAATGGATCGTTGAAGTAATAAAAATAATTTACTCTGGTAACTTCTTTCAGCAATATAAATTTAAGAAAGATTAAAGAAATTTTAATTGTCATAGAACTTTGATTTTATTGCAGTTTTGTCAATCACTTTGTACTGGCATTTCGTGTTACCTGAGTTCTTGATTATCTGAAATATTCGCATATAGTTTATATTATCTTGGATAATCAAGACTCTATTCTATTAACATTATTATTTCATTTTATTTGTTTTGTATTAATGCTGTTTATTGGATATTACAGAATTGATATTAATTTAGATTTAATGCTTGGTTTAATGAATGTTTATGTTAATGTAAATTTGCTTAATATATGCCCAATTAAGATATTTATTATTTTCCTGACTGTTATATGTAACAAAGGAAAAGTACGATAATCAGTCAAAAAATGACCCTCCCCAGATTTTTACATTTTTGAACACAGGACATCTTGAAAACATCAAGAAATGTAAAAAAAATCAGATTTTTCTGTATTTATGGATGTTAGCGTGTGAGGGGCACAGTTTTGTTCATCCTATTTGAAGCATAACTCCTGTCAAAAATTTCTGAAATTTTACAGGGAGGCTTGTGTACTAGGGGGATTGATGCTATTAAATTTTGGTGGTTAAAGGTTGAGGGAGTGAGGAGATAAAGAAGGTCATGGGTATCTCCAGTAGTGTCAGACATAATGATGATTTTACTTGTTACTAGCATTTACAATTCTAGATATAAAAATATCTTACAACAAATTAGCTTTCCCAGCATCATTTAAAACTGCATTCATGGCATCATCTATTATGATATTCTATTTAAAAAACTCTTTATATTTTTAATTATTATAAAATTAAGCTTTGCCATTTTATAATAATTAAAAATATAAAGAGTTTTTTAAATAGAATATCATAATAGATGATGCCATGTATACAGTTTTAAATGATGCTGGGAAAGCTAATTTGTTGCTAGATATTTTTTATACTGGAGTTAAGAATTGTTACATATAATCATGATGAAACAAATATTACTTTTATTCCTAACTTACAAAAAATTCATCTGGTAACTAAATACAGTGGAACCTTGCTTAACGAGCACCTTGCATAATGAACTAAACAAATTTTTTTTAAATGACTTGCTTAACAAGCGAAGTTTTGCATAACAAATGACGAGGAGAGGGAAGTCCTGGACTGTGTGCATGCTCCATCATGCTATAATCTGTGATTTTTTTTTTTTTTTTTGTTTTTTGTTTTCTGCAAATTAAATTTTCATTCCAGGTTGGTTCATTCTGTGCTAGAAAAAAAGATGATGATGATTCACGTTCCTTAACAATGTATATTGTATAATTTTCTTTGAATAAATGTTATACATAAAATACCGTATTTACTCACATGTAAGATAATCTCATATATAGGATGAGGTGTGACTTTAAAGATCAAAATAAAGAAAATTAGATTTATTAATACAATTCTAATTTTATTTCGTTTAATCACAAATAAATTATCATCAAATGCACGTATTAAGGCAAACAACCATGTTTTCCTGATGCTATCACCTTTTGGCTACTCGGACTCGCCCTCCGAAGCTTTGTTACAATTTGACTCTTTTTCATGTTTTATAGTTACTCCACAAAGCATCGTCCTCTGATTTGTCGAGTGAATTTAAAATGTAGTATTTCCTGAATGACTGATACCAGCTTTTGAAGATTGCTTTTCCATGCACCTGATACTCATGTAGCAAAACCAAAAGATTATAATGAATGTGACAGGAAAAAGTTTATTTTTAATGATTCAGAAGGTACAAATATTCATTAAAAATACCAATTTAACAAATATGAAATAACTACATTTATAATCATTGCTAAGTGACCAACTATTTTCGGATCATCTCTTTAAAAGCAATGTTCACCTTGACCTCGATAGCACTCTGCTATAATGGCAGCATGAACTATATATGGTTCACAAAAATTATTGCAAAAGCGCAAAGGATCTTTTGCTGGCGTGTATAGGACAACCTAGGTTTTTGAAACAGTGAAAAATGAATAAAAACTTCTTCTTATACGCAAGTAAATACGGTATTTGAGCATTTTTTTCGGCATGGAATGCATTATCATATTTTACATTAATTTCTATGGGAAAAATTCTTTCACTTAACACGTATTTTGCATTACGAGTAAGGTTCTGGAACAAATTATGCTTATTAAGTGAGGTTCCACTGTATTTTTGAAAATTAGTATATCAAATAAATGATTCAAGTAATACTTAACAAAGTATTTAACACAAATCTGAAATTTTGCAGTTGGGAAATTCAAAAACAAGTTCAATAGGGTATTACATAACAAATTTAGTAACCAAACAATTGGAAATTCTAGTTTATTTTTATGCTATAATTTAATTATTTATATGTCAAATAATTTGGTAATAGTAATAACTGAATTTGATCTGATAAATCAGTAATTTTTTTACTAAACTGTGAGTGAAAATTTTATTTTATGTTTTCATTTTTTACTAATTAATAGCATTTGTCTTTAGCTCACACAATAGATAAGAAAACATAAAGCTTGGTATCATACTGGAAATGACAAAAAAAATTTTTCAGTATGATACCAATCTTTCTGATATCTTATCCATTCATTTACTATGGATTCCTCAGATACAATTGCTCTGTTGTTTGCTGTTGTAAAAAGTTCTCCAAATATCTTGAATTTTGCGATATTACACAGTTAATTCATCTAATTCTGGAATAACAATAGCAATACATGTTGATGATTGATATTCTTATGTGTATTCAAATTTTATACCCTATACATATATAAGTACACTTTCACTAATCCAAACTAATAATTATACAAAGGCTGTTCAGATTAGTGAAAGATTTATATTAGCATTACATATAAAAAAACAGGCAGACAAAAGGACTACAGTCAAACACAGTCAAACTTCCATATTATGAACTTTATATAGCGAATTTCTCTGTATAATGAATTTTTGGGCTGCAATTTGAAAAAATTGTATACCTATAAATTCCCACCGTCTATCTGTCTTTTCTTAATCTCGAGAATGGGATTAGATAGATGAAATCTGAGACCAGATATGGAAACCATAGAGGCAGGAGGCCCCCAATTAAATATATAAGAACTTCTGATGCAAACTAGAAGTCATGTTATTTCAGTTCAAAAGTTTTCCCCTGAAAGCAGTTCATATATAATCAGCATGACTCTGTTGTTAAAGGAAAAGTATGATGTATGGGGCAACACTAATAATTTGAGGTGGAGAGCATATGTTTTAAATGAAATAACTTAAAAATATGATTAAAAATTGCAGCTCGGCATTGTGACAATGTCACAATAGATAATTGCTTGTTACATTTTACACTGCTCTTTCAGCCAAAAATATATGTAAAATTCCTTCTAAATAATGAAGTTAAATTTTCATATAACAAAAATTTTTTTTTGTAAGAACTGTCGATCCTTAAAAGTTGATTACTCCATCTGCTCAAGTTCAAATTTAGGTTCAGTTTCAGGTATAAATCTGTAAACACTTTGTAAAACTGTGTTCCAGGTGTGAGAAATTCTGGTTGTTAGCTTTTAAAACCATCATGTAATCTGCTTCCCATGCAGCTACTGCTTGTAAGGAAAAGAGAGAGAGAGAGAATCTGTCAATGAGGACATTTGCACCTAAACGATTTACAATTAACAAATGTTTTATAGTTACAGTATTCATGTATTAAAATAAATAAATTTAGTACTATATTATACTGTATTTTTTAGTAATACTGTACTTACAGTATAGTTAACATGTTTTTATTGAAAAAAATTACTGTACTGTATAAATTTTCGGATAAGCTGGAACACATTCCTATTCACTTCATAATACAGTACAGTCTAATGGATTAATTTTGCACTGATTTTGTTTAAGCTGCTCTCTCTAGGAATGCATCCATCATAAAATCAGGGCAGCTTGTACAATGAATATTGATATCAGTGACTTTTTTTCTGGTATATAGTACAGTATTTGACCATGAAAGCAGTCTTGTGCAGATGGCTACTTAGTAGGTTTTGTATCATCGTCTAATTTCAATATTGATTTGTGCTATAAACGTGCTAACATGCAAAATGCGCTAGAACCTGTGTTTATGTTGATGTAGATGAAGCTGTTTTAATTGATACTCATAATAAGTGGGAAGCATATTATGAAAAGAGAACATTTTTTTTAATTGTTCTATACAATAAAAAATTACAAATTTCTTTTACACAAATGTAGTTAAACTAACTTGTATTTTAACACACAAATGTAAACTTACTTAAAATTAAAATTACATTATTACTGTATGTTACATTTATATTAATTTAAATTATGTAAAATAATGAGAAAAATATATTAAAATAATACTTTATTTACCAATAAATTTTATTTCTATATAATGAAATTTCCTATGGCGAAAAAAATTTTTATTTGGGATTTAGCGACTTTGTTATATAGAAATTTGCTGTACTGTATATATATTTAAAATTTTTTTCTACTTTATTTGATACACATTTTTATGTTAACATGTACTGTGTATTAATATTATTAATTTGTCATGTTTTAAAATATTATCTATTCTGGCTGAGGCATTTAACTGAAAAAAGTAGCTAAATTAGGATTGTAAAGAGTTTAGATTAGTGCAGATTTGGATTACTAAGAGTACCCTGTATATATTTGAGTTATAAAGCACTAGTGTGATTTATATTATGGTTCTATGTATGAGTGATATTCTTGTGTTCTTTCAGCTTCCCGATGACTTATCTATCACCTGGAATACTCGTATGACAAAAACTGCTGGCTTTTGTTATTATCACCAGATAGCAAGAACCAGATATGCAAAAATAGAACTGTCGACTAAAGTGTTAGATTCGGCAGGTAAATGTATTTTATTGCCATTAATTTCTAAGTGTGCTTAAATTAAATATGTAAAATGTTTGTTTTCTACATTTAGATCGAGTTAGAGATACACTGATTCATGAATTATGTCATGCGGCAAGTTGGATTATGTATGGTTATCGTGATGGACACGGGTCTATTTGGAATTATTTGTAAGTGCTTGACATATTTTAGTTGTTTTAAAAGATAAATAACTTTAAATTTTCTTTTTGTCAGCTGATGTCATACAAAACTTAATAACTTTGGCATTAAATGGCTAAGTTATGGTGTAATGACAGTACAACGGATTATTGTTTGGTATACATGTAAAAATCATTAAAGTTAAGGACTAAAATTAAATGTTAAAAGTGCAAAAAAGAATTAATTTGATTTAAGTGTAACACAATATGAAAAACACAATGTCTAAATTGGGGTCTAATCTGTTATTGCATTATAAATAATATAATCTATTTTCAAGTGTATTTTAAAGTTCAAAAATAACAGTAAAACATAAAAATTCTTTGTTAAAGTTTTTGAGAAATATTAGGTTTACTGGAAAGCTCTGTCCATTTTTAGAATAAAACAAAATAATATTTATACCTTGAATAAACTTTATTGAATAATATAATTTCCATAATTATTTATGACTTCTTGCCAGTGTGATGGCAATTTCTATATCCCATTTTTAAAAAATGCATTATCCCTAGAGGCAAAAAATTGAACCAGTACTTGTCTGATATCTTCTTCGTTTTTGAATTTTTTGCAAAAAATTTTGTAAGGACAGAAACAAGTGATAATCGGAGGGTTCTAGGTCCGGGGAGTATGGTGGATGTGACAGAATTTCCCAGCCTAGCTCTGCAAGTTTCTGGCGAGTCCCCAAAGCAGTATGTGGCCTGGCATTATCATGAAGCAGTAAGATGTCCTTCCTATTGAACATTGCCAGCCTGTTTTCTTGGAGTGCTGTTTTTAAATTATCCAATTGCTGACAGTACCTCTCCGAATTTAGCTTTTCATTCGGTTTTAACAACTCAAAATATATTGGTCCTCAAATGTCCCACCATATCCACAACATTCTCTTATTCAGGCTCAACTTCGGTTTAGAGGTGGAGGGGCAGGTTTTCCGGATTCATAATATGCTCTTTTCCTTACGATGTTTTCATAGGTAATCCACTTTTCATCCCCAGTTATCATCCGGTCCAAGAAGTGTTTGATTTTGTTCCGTGCAAGCAGAGATATGCATATGATGACTCGATCATTCAGATTCTTCTCACTTAACTCATGTGGCACCCATCTCAAATATTTCTACACCAATCCTAGTTTCCGAATATGATATGAAATGGTTTGTTGAGCTTAGTCAAGCTTTTCTGCAATCTCTGATGTTGTCGAAAAAGGATTTTGCTCTAACATGATCTTGACATCTTTGATCGTCGTCCAGAGCATGGCTTATCAGAAAGGTCAAAATCACCTATTTGAAATTTTTCGAATTATCTTCTGCATGTTCTATCAGAAACTGTACCTTCACCAAACACTTGCAATAAATTTCTATATACTTCTGCAGCATTTCTTTCTTGTTGAAATTCGTACAAAATACAGTGACATAAATGAACTTTATCAGTAGCCATGTGTATACAATCGCATCTCACTTAATACTAACATGAATCATCTTCATTTAAGTTCATTTGCTAGGTCAGTATGTATACATTCAGTGATAAAAAGAGAAAGCCAAATATGCATCAAATAAATATGCACATGGTTGTTGAAACTTGTTGTAACTGAAACGGACAGAACTTTTCAGTAGACCCAATATTTTATAGTATGTTTCACTTGATATTGGAAAGTAAACATATCAAGAAATGCAACAGACAGTTTACTTTTATAATTATTATTATTAATCTCTTTCAAGCACTTAAAATATAACAACAACAACTCCATAATGCAATTAAAACAAGAAATGGGCTTAAATATAGAATTCTGTGCTTTTTTATCATTATAAAATTGCATTTTCAAACAATTTAGGGCCTGAAAATGAGCCAGCAAAGCAAAAAAATGTTTGGAATTAAAATTCCAATACAAGAAAGTATAGATTTCTTATAACTCTTTGTTCAGTAATTATTTTAGATTTAGTTTTTGATTATTAAAAATATTGAGAATAAATTTAAAAATTGATTTTAGGGCAAAAAAAGCGAATAGATTATTACCAGAATTACCGGAAATAACTAGATGCCATTATTATGATATAATGACAAAGTACGTTTATAAATGTACAGGATGTGGAGGATGGTAAGTATATATAAGCATTTATTATATTACAATATTACTATATTAATAATAATATAGTTAATATAATAATTTAACCATTTATTATTAAATCCTAAATGGCATAGACTTTGTTTTGTTAGAGTTTACCAAATAGAAAATATTAGGATAAATGACACTTACACATCATATAAATTCACATATAGTACATTTTATAAATCTTGGCTGGGATGCCATGTTATACAGTAGCAAGGATGAGCCTATGTAAAGGTATAAATTATATGAATTTAATAGAATCTGAAGTCATCTCTGGTTGCCAGCATAAATTTTTTTACCATAATAATACTCAGCACCTGGCCAGGATTCATGAAATGACCTGTAACATTTACAATAACAAATTTTTTTATATGCTTTACAAAATATCTTTAAAAAAGATTCCTCAAAGATAATATATAGAAATATGTCTTCATTCCAATCCAGTTTTTTCAAATGCACATTTGAGGAATTAACAATTTCATGAAGAATCGACCTTTATAGGCTGTTCATCCACCTCTAAATGTAAAACAGTTAAAATATCCCTCTAGCAGTGGCACTTCATATAAAATTAAAAATACATTTGATATGCAGTTTCTGTTGTTATAATTGTTAAAATAATTACGTTAATAATGTAATTTGGATTGGTTGAGATAGTATAGTTTTGAGCTGTGTCTTGGCAAATAATGTTTTTTTGCAATACAGTGGGTGATCGGTTAACGAACATAATCCGTTCCAAGACTTTGTTCGTTATCCGAATTGTTCGTTAACCGATTATCGATTTACCATAGGTTTCTATGGGAATTTGATTAATTCGTTCTGGAGACCTCCAAAAAATAAAAAATATAGACTATACTTTCTTATTATGTTTATTTATATGTAATAATAAAAATACATATATACACGGTCTTGCATTTTTATTAGTCATGTTTTTTCCGTTTGTGGGGGTTAATTAATTAATTAAAGAATCTGTCCAATGTCGATTGCTTTTCTGTCTTCTTTATGATTTTTCAGAAGTAATTAATAGCATTGTAATTGTAGAGAACCCTAGGCCTATTAACCTCAACCTGGTTTGGATGCCATTTTAAGACCGTTGTTCTGTCAGAACAACGTCCTCCCACTTCTTTAAAAGATCTTTAATAGCAGATATCGGCATAAATCCGCATTTTCATAAGAAAATGTAAAAGAATTGTTTCTGTCAGAAATATAAAAAGCTGGAATTACAAGGGAGAGTTTCAAAGTTCGGGAGAATACTATCCTATCAGTATATACTGGGTAGAACGTCGATGTCGACGTCTCCCGCGCTCCGAAAAGTTTTGAATTGTTGCCTGAAGACAAAGGAAGACCAATCAGTATTTGTTATTTTATGTCTCTTCTTTTTGTGTTTGTTCAGTCAAGTGTTCGTTATCCGAACATGTGTTCGTTGTCCGATCGTAAAAATCTTTCGCGAAAGTGTTCGTTATCCGATTTGTTCGTTAACCGATCACTCACTGTACTTGCTTTATTTTATCTTTTGTTTTACTTGACTTTTATTTTTCCATTGAGAATTTGGTGTGATCTTGGGATGAAAGCAATTGAAACATACTGTTTCTCTTATGCCTACAGACAAAATATATGTCAAGCATGCATACATGTCAAGCATGCATACATCTCTCTTTGAGAGAGAAGTAGGTATGCTTGACACTCTCTCTTGCTTCATACACAATGAAGCATGAGTGTCAGAAATATTAACTTTGAACGATTTGTTGGTTGTTATGATAACCAATTTAAAAACAAAAGAAAAAGAATTTTTGTGTGTTTGAATTTAGAAAATTTTGAGGAAAGCTATTAAAAAATGATAGTACTATGTAAATAAAACAACCAGTGTATGTCAAGCAGAGTTCAATTTTTATCTTTATGTTAACTGTAATGAAAATAGTTATAATAAATAATGTAGAATGTCAGAAATCAGAATTTTTCAGAAACTTTTAGTAAAATTAGTAAAGTTTTTAGGTTTACCAAGTTTATTGATTTTCTTTTGAATTTGTTGAACTTCTAACAATATTCAGACCTTTGGCATATGACATCAAGTTATTATAAGTGGAATGAAAGATAATACAACAGTTTATAAAACTCATATAAGTTGTAAATAAAGGCTTATACAAAATCTAGTTTATAACAGAATAAAATAGAATGTTAACGTTTTATTGAATTGGAGCTTATAGAATTACATGCTGACTTATGTTCAAGTCATAGAAATATTTAACTTAAAGTTGAAATCATGTGAATTATGCCATATCACTGCATATAAATGTAGCATATTTATTATATTAATATACAAATAAATTTATAAAAAATTTATTAAGAAATACTTTTTCAAGTATAATTTATATTTAAATGTACAGAGTATCTCCTAAAAAGTGATACAGACTAATAGCTCAGATTCAAGACCAGTAAAACCCCACTTAACACAGGGGATGCATTCCTAGACGACAAAGCGCTAAACGTAACAGCATTAAACAAAGTCATTTTAACATAGAGTAAATAGGGAAAGGGGAACATGCAACCAGAAATAAACAGATTTTACTTTAATTTTAAGTCTTTTTTATATTAATATGCATAATATGTGTTAAATAACATAAACATGTGCACAAAGAAATGTAAAGTTCATTTTTTGTGATGAAGGTCCTGAAATCTTGTGTTTTGCAATAAAGTCATGTAGTTTCATTTGTTGCTTTTTTTTATTTCCTTAAGCAAATGTTGGTAGTAGAAGATTGCATTCAAAATGCTTTATTTTGCTTTTGTACTCCTTTCAAAATCTGGATTATTTGCTACAATTTGATCAATGATTTCAGTTATCGTTACCAAACTTTTACTAAGAAACATCTGTAGAGAAATTCTTTGAGGTCTTCATTTTCAGAATCACTATATTCCAGTTCTACATGAATTCCTTGTTCTGCCAGTTCTTGAAGGTCGTCATTGGTAAGCCTTTCACCACAAACCTGCAGTAACTCCTCAAAATCTGCTCATCTACGATCAAAAAAAAAAAAAAACTATTTCAACTCTTTCTGCCCTGTGGGCACTAAAAGGGCTTCTTTTAGCAAGCCAGTTATGGGTTTGGCCAGGTTCCCAATGAGGCGGCCAGGTGGTGAGGGACATGGTCCAACATATTTAATGGACCACCCTCTGAAAAATTCCTGGGGATTTCTTGACCCGTCCAGATTCAATCCTGGGTCCTCCAGAGCAGTAGGTTGCCATCTTGACTCCTTGGCTGTCCTCCTAGTCCTGCTGTATTGATTAGGTCAACAATTTGGTCAACCTAATGATACAGCAATAGACTCTTCTCGTTGAGAATTCTTGGATACCTTCAGCCATAACTTCTTCCAAACTTCATTCATGTATTTATTAGTTAATTCTTGCCAAGCAAAGTTGATATTTCCTATGGCATCCATAATATTATATTTTTTCCAAAATTGCACAAAACAAACATGGATTTAAGGAAAGTACAGTGCTATGATGAATTGCCACTTTTTGTTGATTGGTTTGTGTTCGTAAATAATTGTTATATACAAATTAATGAAATGCTGTGATAATTTTGAAACAGCGTAAATTTTGAGCTGTTTTTTAGACTTCGATCAGACCTCGTTAATCAAGGCAGTGTTAAGCTGGGTCTTACTGTAAACGATGTTTGCTCTCATACGATATCAAGGATGTGCTATTCATTGGTACATCGGTGGATTTCCTCCTACTCCAAAAAGATGGATAAAATCTCACTTCCTATTGCAAATAAAATTACAGTTCCAATTGTAAATTTGTAGAACAGGTCAAACTTAGTACATTCTACATTTTATTCAATTAAAAAAATAAAAAGAGGGCTATTGTGTATTTCCAAAAATTTGAAGGTTTGTGTAAGTTTGGCTTTCCATTAATGCTGAGCTGCTTTATAAGTATTTGCTTCTCAAGCTTTAAACAATTTGTGATAAATACAGTTCAATTCTTCATTTTATAAACCTTAGTTAATTACAAGGAGGTTAAACTATAATTTAAAAGTAAAGTTAGTAATATTTAACAAATTAATATAACTTAGTACATGATAATACAAAATAAAATACACAATAATTAATTTTTGAAAAAACATGATAAATTAATTATATCTTTCCAGGACTTCAATCTCATCAAAATATCTTTCTGTAGTTGGTTGAAATTTTGCCAAATGAAAGAATATATGCTTCCAAGTTTTATATTCTTGCATAAGGCAATTATTACAAATTCTCTCATAATGTACTATTAGCTTAAACAACACTTTAAATACTTTTTCAGCATGACTATAATAAAAATATGTTATTAATTGAAAATTTGTTCTAGCAGATCAAGTATCGAGCAATTTTTTCCAGCATGTGTTTGAACACCGAGTTGTTCGAGTACTGAGATAGTGTCATATTTTATTTGTCATTTTACAAATTATTGCTTACCTATGGTTAAAAGAAAGTTTAAAAGCACTTATCTAAAAATGTTTAAATAAACTTTACTAAATAGGAAGATTAATCTATAAAAACAAAACACAATGGATCTTAAAGGCTAAAATATGAAAGCAACAACAGCAACACCCAGTTGATAGGATAACTTTTTTCTTCCTTGTTCTAGCTTTCCTATCAGTTTTCATTAAAGTAAACCTGACAGAAAGCACAAAATAATTTGAAAATTTCAATATTCTAAAATCCATAGACAAATTTGAGACAACATGCATGCTTACTTGAATAAAAAAAATTATTGAATAATGAAGTTTACACTTAAAAATACAGAGGATTTCCAAAACCATGTTGGAGCAAAATTGTGTTGTATGAAGGATACCTGTATTATAAGAACATTTTGATAATATATAAATATCATTTTTCAGAACAGAGTTTTGAAATACGAGGCGTGTTTTTAAAGTAAGTACCGTTTTAATATAACGCCGCTGGAGCGCTGCAGTTGTCACTTAGCGCATGCGCGCTGTGTACCTACATCTGTTG